GTCCCCCTAAATCATAATTCATAAACAGACTAGCAAAATTCGAAAGATTTTGGCGTTGAGCAAACAAGCTTGCCCAACGCTGAAATGCAGTAGAAATCACAAGCAGAACCCCCAAACCCCTTACTGAAGCCTTACAGAACACGTAGCCGCTCATAGAACCGCAATCCGCGTACAGAACCCCAAGCCCCTTGTGTAGAACCATTACTGTTTAGAACCCTAAGCACCTTCTAGAACGGTTACAGAAGCCCGTTATGCAACCCTGACCCTAAACCCTGAACCCACAAGACCAAGCCTTCGATGATGGCGTCGAGGTCCACCTTGGACATCAGTTCGCCCAAGGAAGCCTTGGCCATCCCATCCTGGGCGGCACAGGGTTTAGGGTTTAGACTTTCGGATGTAGGGTTTAGGAGTTAGGATCTAGGATTCCGGGTTTGGGGTTCAGGGAGTAGGGTTTGGGATGTGAGGGAGCCCCCATTGCAATCCAGCCACCCAAGATCTTGCATGGGCACGTGGACATGTTCCAGGTCGGTTTACACTCTCGGGCCTCCACCCTAAGTTCATCTGCCGCGAGGCAGCCGTCGCCGTTGGCGTCCAGTGCCACAAAAATCTCCCGCAGGGCCTGGCAGCTACGACCTCTACCACCAGCTGCAGATTCAACCCGTACGGCGGGTGCCACCTTGATCTTCTCCTCGCTGAGCTGGCCTGCGATGATCTGCAAGGCGGCCTTGGCGGGTGAAGCCTGGACTCCCACAGGCCCGAGACCTTTCCCCCACGGTGGAGCCTTCTTCATCTTGTGCTGGTTCTGGAAGGCACGAAGGTTGTCCACAATACCGGCCTGTTTTTGGGTACGGGTATGCGCTTCCTGGTTCCCTGCAACCGAAGCCGCTGATCACAAATCCAGCCTGCAGTGATGCTGTGGTTGATCGCGGTGCCCGGCACCTCATCCCATAAAGTTGTGAAAACATCGCCCCGGCAGGACGTATAGGGAAGAGACTGCAGCATGCTGGAGTTTTACATGACGATCTAGCGAGCGCGCGTTGGGCTGCCATTACACACGGAATTGACCCGTGGGTCAACTTATGCATGCGAAGGGTGCCACACAGGTCTGGCCAGAGTCAATGGGAGCACGACAAGCCACTTTGATTCCCTGAAGCCGCTGCACAAGCGGATAAGGCACTCTGGTTGCGCCGGACGTGCATGTCCTTCAGTCAGCTTGGCTGACCGTTGACACTGCGAATGGAAGCTGCGAGACTTGACATTGCGATTGGCAAGGCAAGCCAAACAGCCGCAGCCTAACCTGCAAGTACCTGGGCTCAGATCTATGTCTCAGGAACGACCCCACAACCGCATAATACTGCAGACAGAAATCTACAGCGAGGGCATCGAGTCTAGGGGAGGTGGGCGGAATCAGAAGCTTCCGTGCAAGGTCACTCACTTCGTCAAGGGTTTCTGTCGCCTCACACAGCATGAAATCAGCTGGAGGCTCCAGACATCGCGCCTGCGGGAAACCCCCGTAGACGGCTGATACAAAGACCCAACTGCCTTTTCGAGGAAAGCCCTGACAGACAGATTCGTTGTACTTTGGCTCTGGACAGCACCTGGTGCTCAGCGCCGTCAGCGAGTTCTTCAAGGACTGCGTCGACTTGGTTGGCCCCGCTGGGCCTAGACACACAGTGACGGCTTCCCACGGTGACAGAGGCGGATGCCAGGTCGTCGCGGGCCTGGGTACAGAGCTTGGCCTTCCATCTTCCTTGAAAACAGCTGACCAAAGGTCTATGCAGTCTATGCCGAATCTGATGGCTGCTGCGAGCCTCATCCAATCGGAGGAGTGGTTCTGGTACTTCAGCATCTGCAAGAAGATGAGTGTTGCAAGCCGCACATGACATGTCCCACCGTGCCATACCCACGCCTGCAGAGGCGCAGAAGACGGGCATGCGGAAACTGCAGAGGCCTGTCATCTCCCGGATTGCTCTCAATAGCCCAACTGTCATATGAACGGTGCTCCTCCTGCCTCGTCGGCCACGTCAGGCCTAGCGATCTCTAGGTCGGAGGAGCAAACAGGCACCGGCCTGCCACCGGCTGCACGGCACAGGGTGGCTCAAGGAAGAAACGCGTCTTCTCAGGGAGCCACAAGCTCGGCTCCAGCTGCGAGAGGCGGGTTGGGCCAATCCCTGGGAGCCAACACAAACTGCGCCACCCAGAACCCAAATAGAAAAGAAAAAAAGCAGATGTTCTCTACCGCTCTCTTCTCTGAGCTCAAGGCCGGTGACGAGGCTCGCAATAGCACTGCACTGCGATTCCCTCGCATTGAGACACTGGCGACGCCCTGACATGACCGACTCAGACAGTACGCGCCTGGGGGACGGTGACTTGACCATCTTGGCTTCAAGGTACGTTGGATAGCGCCTCTCAGACAACAAGCTGCTTGCTGGCACTGACGGATAGAGCCGGGAGCCGGGCACCAGCTCGAACATGCCGAGCTTGCCCAGTCTCTTCCGGCTCCTCACAAGAGGCCAAGGGGCGTCCCAAGGAGCCAAGGATGAGCCAGGCTGAGGGCTTCACTTCGGTGGATTGTCGGTGCGTTTCCGAACGTACTCCAGCTCTTCCACCGACTTCCTCCGTGTCCGTCGGGTCCCAGGAGTTTCAAGTCTCCAAGCACCAAGCAGCCGGCCTTGCCCAGATGAGCTCGGCCTGGACCCGGGTGTACTCCGAGGAGATGCCTGGCTCAGCGTCGGAGGACCCTCTGCTTCTACGGCTGTCACGGGCTCACTCCCAGCAGGGCTCGGCAACTTCTGGGACCCTCTGCCTGGTAAGTTTGGGCGCCCACCGGCGCCCTTCGACACGCCTGCTCTTCTTTGCAGTTTCAGTCAAGGCTTCGCTCTCGCCCTAGCCTAGAGGGCTAGGGGCATAGCAACAACATCCTGCCCTGATCTCAGGATCTTCGAAGGCAAGCCATCTTTTCGGGAATGGCACCTTCCTCCGGCATCGCCACTCGGGAACAACTTCGAGGCTTCGTGGATCTAGCTGCTCTGCATGACTGAACTGGTGAGTTTTAAAATTTGTAATAGTGAATCAGACCCTGCATCATTGCCCGTTGCTTCAAGGAGATGATGTGGGTGTCACGGCCTGAAGTCTTAAGCCAAGACAGCGTGCCGGGCCATGTCTTCGGTACGCATGCACACGGCGCCCTTGGGCACAGGGCGAGCTACGAGGATCTGCAAGATCTGCCGAAAAAGATCCTTTACGGCAGGCACCTGATCCACTCGTGCTGCAGTGCCTGGCAACATGGCAGTGTGACGTACGCACGCGCCCCACTTCCACTAGTCCTCCAGGTAAAATTCCGGTCTGCTTCAGGCTCCGTGCTCTAGCTCAGCGCCTGCTCAGCCGTGTAGCGCTCAGCTGGATCAAACTTGATCAGCATCCTTATCAGTGCCTGCAAGCAAGAAGCGGGACAAGTCTAGCATCTTCGTTCTTCTGTGGAAGCCCCTGTATCTGCCAATGCTTCGCTGAAGAAAATGCAGATCAGACAATTCTGCAGCCTTCGCATCGTCTGAGACATTCTTCCAATCCTGCCCAGATCTTCAGCTGTTCTATGCTGCACTGTATGCGCAATGGAGCATGTTGGCACAATAAACTAATTATTTGGATAACCGAGACCGATGTCGCAGACTGGGGATGATTGGTTCCCTAAGTCCCATACACAGCTCGTCCTTCTGATCGAAGGTAAAGTTGCCAGACTTCACCTTGTGAAGCACCTGGGCAGCTTCAGCCCTGAAAAAGTGTCCGGATTCCCAGCATAAGGACTGCGAGGATGGCCTCGTGGTCCGTCTTCCCGTAGAAGGGAGGATATCCACAGAGCATGGTATACCTCAAAAAGGGTGGGGGGATCTGAAGATCGGTCACCCCCGAAACTGTCAGGGGCCAGGCATGATCACCCCGCAGCTCCACAAGTCACAGGATTTGTCGTACTTCCCCTGCAGCACCTTCGCTGAGACACTCTCTGGGACACCATTCACGCAGCAGAGGCGGGGCAAGGCAGAGGCTGTGCCTGCGGCGCCACGTAGTACGGCGTCCCGGCCTTCGTGGACATGACCTGCAATGGCCATGGTCTTCCGACTCATGATCCCTACTTGGAGGTTCATGTGTAGTTATAAGTAGGGTTATAAGTCCCCTAATATGGGTTATAACTATAGTTACCCTACTTATAACCCCACTTATAACTACCCATGAACCTCCAAGTAAACCCACGGAGCCGAGGTCTCCGCGAAGGCCCTACTGTACCCTGGGCTCCCCTCTCTCCCGCAAGGCCGGACCTTCCCATCGGAGGCGGGGCTGGAGAGCCCAAAGTCCTTGGTTCCAACATCTTCAAGCTGTACCGAGACCGCCTCACTCGCCGACGACCAGACTGTCACAAATCGCACATCAGAGGTGAATTGACACTCAAGGCTGTCCGTCCAAGAGGCTATCAGCTTGAGGATATTCTTGTCGATCGAGTCCTCTCTGCTTCTGGAAACGATCACTGCCAACAAGGAAAGAAAGCCCCAATCGAGACGCTTTCGTTCCCAAAAAAAAGATGCGCTGTAGACTGTGAGACGACAATGAATTTAGAATCGTCGACCCCTCCTTGCCTCCCACCTACAGTAAAGGCTGCCTTCGGACAGCGACCACTATTGAATTCCTCTTGGAAAGACGGGACGGCGGCTCCTTGGTCAGGAACCTCGGCTAGGCTGTCAGAAATGCTTCGCCGAGTTCTTCACCCCGGAACTCACTGACAGCTTCTGTGGAGAGCCCACACCCGGGATTCATGCAGCTTAGCAACAGGAAGTTTTCCGGCTTCAGATCTCTATGGCCTCAGTCGAAGCAGAACGTGTACCGTGCACGTGCTTGAGACGTAGCAGGAAAGCAGCAAGAATCGGCTCAGTGCACCGCAGACATCCATCCTCGAATGTCAAGCATTCACACAGCACGGAGTCTTCAAAACTCAGCAATGATTTGCACATTGAAGCCTACCCTGTTCAAGCCAGCTGCTTGTGCATGTAGAAGATAGCATGCAGGATGTGGGACCTGGCCCAGCACACTGGCGTCGCTGAAATCCGAAACGCAGAGCACAACAGAGACGGAGCTACGCCACAATGGCGCCGTCGGATTCCCTGAAGTGGCCGGCCTCAAGGGTAAGTGAAAGCGCTCTTCTTTTCAGGCCTTGGCAGTTCCGATCTGCTCTGCCTCGATGATCCGGTCGAAGAGTTCTCCCCCCGAGCAGAGCTCCATCACCAGGTAGATGTGTCTTCCTTCCATGCTCTCTGGTGGTTGGAGCCCTACTACACAGGACTACACAGTCTAGCAAGTACCCTCTGGCAACAAAGATGAGGCCGGCGCGATCTTCGAAGGTCTCGAAGAGTTTGATGATGTTCGGGTGATCCATGACCTACACTCAGGGCTCAGGGCTTTGGGGAGCGCCCCGTCGAGGAAGAGCTACCATTGTCTTCCCATGGCCTTCATGATGGCGACCTCTTGCTTGAAGCGAGCCACGTTCTTCATCTGCCCCTGGCCATTCGAGGCGCGAAGCAGGAGGAGGTTTGAAAGAAGCAGATAGGTGGAGATCTACTAGGCCGTGCCGACCTTGGACATAGTCTTGATGGCACGAACCACACCAGTCTGCTTGTGCCTTGGCGAGGCAAGTACGGAGTGTGTATGATGAGAGTCCAACACCAAAGAGAAAAGCAGTGTTCAGCTAAAGCAGCAACAGTGGCGACGACAGCCCACATCAGCTGCAGCACAAAGGCTAGAAGTGGCTCAGTGGATTCTCAGTGCTCGGCACGGCGCTGGAAACGGAACCGTAGGTTCCTTCACCAAGCTTTCTTGCCTTCACGACGACATAACTTTTATGATTAACAATGAAGAATACATGAAATAGCTGCCACTGCCGTCGCAAGCCTCGATTTTGTAGATGTCCCGCACATCCCTTGGAAGCAGATGCTTGCCGCCCTTCATGCTAGACAATTCATACAGCAAGTAGGCATCATTTCTTCGACTTTGTCGGGCAGCCCCGAGTGGTTCAGGATCAGCTGCGCACGAGACAGCGCGTCCTCAGAACCGGCACGCAGATGACAACACCAGGCTATCTGAGGAAGCAATCTTTGATGATTGGGATCTTGTGCGTTTTGACTCTGCGAAACTCTGTCTGTCACAGCTCACACTCGGTACCCTGAGTCTCGGGTGTCGCACTGCTTTGTTCGACTTCTGCCCGGACCTGACCCAGTCCAGATGCAGAGCCCTGGTCTCGTGCTGCTTCGACTAGTAAAGATGCCCCTTTCGCGCAAGCCCCATTACTGTCACAGCAGAACATCAAGATAATCGCCAGCCCGCAGTCATCGCAAGAGAACATGGGCGTTAGTCATGAGATGTGCTCCGAGTACCCGACACTCCATTCAACATGGTTGGAAGATCTTGCTGTCGATCGTGCTTCCTGCGTCCAGGACGACACAACGGTGCCGAAAATTCCCATAACCGTGCCTTCTTCTAAGCTGACCATATCAAGATGCTACATGTGCTTGAAGCCACTGCCTTCGCTTGCCCGCAGGTCCATCTTGACAAAAGCTGCCCTCAGACACAAACAGCACCGCGCAAGATTCTATCTCGACAGCAGTGATGCCTGCCGAGCTGTTTCAGCCTTGGACGTTAGGTTGCCTGAAGCTTCCTGAGGACTGAGGACACCGCACTTTTCTTGTGGAGAACCTGGTTCTTGGTGGCGCAAGCTCCCATGTTGCACCTGCACCCAGGAAACTCAGCAGCTCTCCAGGGCCTGAAGGAGTCTTGAAAAGCAAGGAGAGGTTCCGAGTTCCCACCCACACACACCAGACCTGCAAAGGCTCCTCCACATTTCCAGACTCAACCTAGACCAAGGAAGCTCAACGACGGCGCAAGATCTCCGTTGATGAGGTTCCCCGCCAAGAAGTTTTGTCGGTACCGCTTTCTAACGCTGGCGGCAACAACCGCACATCTCAACGAACTGACCTGCCCGCACTCTTGCCGTTTTGCTTTAGAAGGGCAGGAATTGTGTCCCCTCCTAGTCCCTGTATAGTTATACTATAATAATAGATACCCCCAAACTCTGTTAAAATCCCTCAGGCAACTAGATTATTTGTATGTATATATATATATATATATAGATACGAGTAGATAGATAGATAGATAGATA